ACAGAAAAAACCAGTATTGTCATAATATGCAGATCCAAATCTTCGGAAGGCTGTATCTCAGACAAATAGGGCCTGATCGGCGCAGGACCAACACTCCCAGGATCTTGAGGATCCAGACTGTTGAATGGCATCGAAATCTCGGCTACGAAAATGAGGCCGATTTTTTGCAAATTTAATGATGTAACCATCATGATTTTTTGCGAAAATCGTGAAAAAATGGATGTCCTTTTTTCCGATAGCGGTCGATTGGCAGGACTCTCCCGATCACGAAATGTCATACCACGCCCCGATCAGCCGCCGGGTAGCCGAGATATAGCCTACAGAAAAAACCAGTATTGTCATAATATGCAGATCCAAATCTTCGGAAGGCTGTATCTCAGACAAATAGGGCCTGATCGGCGCAGGACCAACTCTCCCAGGATCGTGGGGATCCAGACTGTTGAATGGCATCGAAATCTCGACTACGAAAATGAGGCCGATTTTTTGCAAATTTAATGATGTAACCATCATGATTTTTTGCGAAAATCGTGAAAAAATGGATGTCCCTTTTTCCAAAAGCGGTCGATTGGCAGGACTCTCCCGATCACAGAGAGACATGCCACGCCCCGATCAGCCGCTGGGTAGCCGAGATATACAGAAAAAACCAGTATTGTAATGATGTGCAGATCCAAATCTTCGGAAGGCTGTATCTCAGACAAATAGGGCCTGATCGGCGCAGGACCAACTCTCCGAGGATCTTGAGGATCCAGACTGTCGAGCGGCATCGAAATCTCGACTACAGTCGATTGGCAGGACTGTTCCGATCACAAAGAGACATGCCACGCCCCGATCAGCGGCAAAAAAAGCCAAACTCATTTCTAAATAATCTAGAATTGCCGCTTCCTAACATTCTAAAAATTTTCTCGCTGTTGGCTTTAAGAAGCCAGGTCTGTCGGGAAAACCCGAAATAGGCAGCCCTGCTTGTCCAGCTCGTACTGGGCTCGTGGAGCTGCTGACGATCTGCATATCCAGGTCCTTCACAAATCGGATCTCACCTGGCTGTGGCTGCAATTCACCATTGAATCAGGCATTGCCTAGGTCCTTACCCAGAGACGCAACAACAACGAAGTCCTGGCTAAAGACATTTAAATCGCGCCTACTTTTCTAATTGATTTGTACATCTACTCCTAAAAATATGCAACGAACGTGAATCGGTTACCGGTGCTGCCGAGAAGTGTTGCGAATTTGGGGATTTCATGTATGTTGCGAAGACGATGTGCCTTACAATTATTTGACACAGTGTTGCAAATTTGGGGATTTCAGGTTCCATTTATGGCCGTTTATAAAATTTATTTACAAATAACATGTTTCATGTTATAAAAAAATGTATTTTTTATTTTCCCTGTTTTACTTTCCTAAATGGTAAAATTTCGAAAAACAACCATCCATTTTCTCCTCATTTCATGCTTTATTAATTATAGCTCTCTATTATAGAAACAAGTTTTGGGTCGTCATTTTCCCGATAATTTACTCATATGTATATAAGGTGCTTGCCCCTAGTATAGATATAGATATCTATAGATGGCAATGGTTCCATTAATGGCACCAGAAGATAACAACTGCTAGTCGCAATTCTGGATGTGAGCATACATATAAGTAGAAAACCGCACAGATCGCAGAAATTCTCAAATAAATAGTCACAAATTACAAAATCAATCAATTCGGAAAACGATAATTCATATAATTCATTTACAACTTATACGAGTGTGACTCATTTTCGGTTCCATGAAAAATCCAGAAGTTCGATTTAATTAGTCGACCCAGAAACAGAGCAAACGCAGGCACACATTTCGGCAATTAACGTATTCCTGTCATAAAAAAATGTCGATACATCACATTATTTTCAACGGTCAATGACAAAATGGCAAGCTCTTATCAACTTTCGGAGGGTTACATTGATCGCACACATCAGTGTCAACAGTGTCCGCCCTGAGGCAGACTCAAACAGCCTCAAACCCGACAGAACCGACAGAGAAGTCGAAGTCGAAGTCGAAGTCCCATGCCCATGTCTGTGGGCCAACAAACGACGGCCAGTACAGCCACAACTGCCACAACAGCCGCCCGTAGCGATAAGTGGTGTTAGATAACTGGTTTCTATCAGTCGCCAAATTGAATGCTCACGATGTCCACGCGACATTGCTTAGCACGAGACGGAAGACAGACCCCGAGCCCTAACCCCGACCTACCAGAGCTCAGGATAAATCCACTCCGAGACCCCACTAACCAGAACACTTTGCCCATAGATTAATTTGTATATCGCAACACAAAATGCCTTATACATATACCATAAACATCTTTCGTGCCTCACGAGGCATGCCGCTTAACCACTGTGACATTGATATGCTTCTGTCATGATGGTGCGTGTTGAGCCCAAAAACTGTTGCATGTTCAGCATGACAACAAGCAAAAGGACAATCTTCTTGAAGACACTTTTCCATTTCAGGTTATTTTTCCTGCGGTTGCTATTTAATAATCTTTTCAAGAACAATATTTGCTTTGCAAACTCGACTTTTTGGTTTCTATTTGATTGGAAAATATTTCAGAGCAAATATTGATTGGCAGAGAGAGCAAGCAAGCGCCTTTCTCGCGCCTAAAGCGATGACAACGTTTTACATAAAGCAGCTGAAAAATCTTGTGGAAAGACAAGAAAAACGAGGGGGAACGTTGTGAGTTGCTGCGGACACCGCAACTCTAAGGTTATACCCGATACTAAGTCAGTATGGCTCTCCTCCGGCAGACGCCGCTAATATTTAACGACACGACAAAGAGTGCGTGCGAGAGAGACAGAAAATCAGTCTGAGCGTGACGTCGGGCGCTGCGTAGCCACTGCAAATTGATTTGTTCCTTTTGGCTAAAAAAATGGTCTGATCTGATCCAGATTCAGCAATCTAATAGATATGGTCATTATCTATGATTCTGCGTTTTTAGTTTTCTCAAATCTGCAATATTGTGGATGCAACAGATTTTCGTCCTTTGTGGGGGCGGATGGGGGTGGGGCGAAATTCTGAGATATACGTTTTATAGTGACATCTTAAAGGAGTGTGTGCACCAAATTTGGTTACTCTAGCCTTAATAGTCTCTGAGATTTGTGGTTGCCTCAGATTTTCGTCCTTTGCGGGGGCGGAAGGGGGTGTGGCGAAATTTGGACAGGAAACGGTCAAGGTCCGATATCACAGGAGTGTGGATACCAAATTTGGTTGCTCTGGCTTTTATAGGTTCTGAGATCCTTGAACTCATATTTTGCAATTGGCAAAACCGACCATGAAACCTGTGTGTTAGAGTGAGACAGAGCGAGAAAGAGTGAAATTGTTTTCGTGATTCTGGCTGTAATAATTATACGATCTGGTTCAGATTTTGCACTCTAGAAGATATAGTCATCTTCTACGATTCTGCGTTTTTAGTTTTCTCGTATCGTCGAAATTGTGGATGCCACAGATTTTCGCCCTTTGTGGGGGCGGAAGTGGGCGGGGCAAAGTTTTGAAATATTTTTGGAGCAGTGACATATCACAGAAGTCTGGATCCAAAACATCGTTGCTCTAGCTCTTATAGTCTTTGAGCATTAGGCGCTGAAGGGGACGGACAGACGGACAGACGGACAGACGGACGGACGGACAGACAGACAGGGCTCAATCGACTCGGCTATTGATGCTGATCAAGAATATATATACTTTATAGGGTCGGAAACGATTCCTTCTGGACGTTACACACATCCACTTTTACCACAAATCTAATATACCCCAATACTCATTTTGAGTATCGGGTATAATTACACGCGAATTCCATTTGGTAATGACAAGTCAAGCCTCGCCTCAAGCCTCGCCTCCAATCTCTGACATCTGGGAATGTGACAGAGCTAAGAGAGGGATTTTTAACATGAATATAAATGTAGATTAACAGGAATATTTGTAATGCATTTTAATATATGTATGTATAATGTGGAAAAAGAATATTTGGGGATACTTCTATGCTTCTGCTTCTTCCTGCTTCTATGTTACGTGAGCGACCCAAAAGTGAAAGTTACAGTTTTATCATCACTTTCTCCCCCACACATTTCCGAAACAAACAGTCACGAACTATTCAAAATGTAATTCAATATTCTAAACCAGAAAACTGTCACAACTACAAGTTGGTCGCCAGATACTTGTGAATAGTTTTCGTTATATTATTTGTATTTGCTTGGTATGCCACCAAAGAGTCCCGTTCGAACAGTCACCGACTGCTTTTCAAATTGAACAGATGTTTTCCTAGAACACCGCAACAATAAACAGCCAACGCGTGAAAAACCACAAAAATTCTATGGGTATTAATTACTTAGTAAGAAGCCCCATGGGGTCCAAAAGATGTGCCCTGCCTGCCTGTGCACCTCCCCCTCGATGGCTCGCACTGAACTCCTCCGAAGCAAAAGCGACGATAAAAGTAATTAACATACAAACGGAAACAAGGCAAACGAGATGTTGGATCAAATGGCAACACTAAAAAGTTAAATAAATAGCGAATACAATCCGAGAACAAGTGCAGAATACAAAAGAGAAAAACGACGGTGGAATACCCTGTGGAAGAGATATCTCTCCCCTCAACAAAGCTCCCATTCAATTTCAGTTTCAAAATCATCTCTAACCATATATACCCTTTGGGGTACCCCTAGATGGCAAAAAAAAAAAAAAAGTAAAACAAAAAGCCAAAAGTAATGCCGATCTCAGCATAAGTCACGTACTGAAACGAAAGTGAAAACAAATCAGACAAGACAGAGCGCCAGTCAGACCCATGTTCGTTCTAATGAGAAAGCTCATCGCAATATGATGATCTCTTTGCAAATGGTGGGGGAGCGGGTGGCAGTAGGTGGTGGGATTTGGCTGGTGCTGATTGGGACAGTGGCTTACAGATGGGCCAGAACGATGGATAGCTCAATTGGCAGAAAGTGAGAGAACAGAGTTGTGTATCGGCCAGATACGTGTGCCGTCCAACATTTGACATTCGACACTCGAAAATGGTCAACAAAAGCCAAAAGTCGATCGAGTTGGGGCAACACTTCCATGGAAACCATCGAGAGAAGCACTCCCCAGATGATGATGATGCTGCTGCTGTTATTTCTATTCCTTTCTGGATCTTCGGTTTTAAGGTGAGTTGCCAAATATTATTGAGATCCAAAAACCAACCGAAATTGCAATTTTGGTTGCAGTTCCCCTCTGGACCCAGAAGATATGGAACTGCTGGAGATGATGCTCCGGGATGGCGATGGATACCCGAATAGTGGACGCAGTCTGAGGGACATATCCGTGCTGCCGGCCACATCGATTGGCTGCGACGAGAACGATTCCGAAGAGGACTTTAAAATGTTCGACGATATCGAGGAGAGCGTAGAGTGTGAGGACTTTCTGCCACCCTGTGAACCGGCGAACCCTGTGGTGGAAGAATATCCCATAAATCATCCCTGCTTTTTGCGCCTAATCCTGCTGCGGACTCCACTCCTGAAGCATGACCCATGCGTCAACTTCACACTGGCGCAAGAAACCCCGAAATCAACTGAAAAGCCTAGAAAGCCCAAGAAGAAATGCGATCCCAAGTCGAAGGCAAATATTTCCAAAACTCCAGGTACTCAGAATGGGTCGAAAGCGATGCCAAACACTGGCCAAAAGGAAGTCCAAACAACGCCCAATACTGAAAATAAAGAAAAGAAAATACTTTCCGAAACTGGCGAAGCGACAACCAAAAAACCCGATTCAAGTTCAACAACAATCTCAACATCAAGAACAGAGAAAACTTCTACTGAAGGTAGTTCCCCAACAAAAAGAGTTCCAAATCGAAAGAACAGAAAGCTAACCACTCCCAGGACAACAACAACAACAGCAACAACCACAGCCGGAGCCACGACCACAGAGAAGACCATCACTACAGAGGATACAACGACAGAGATCATTAGCACCACCACCACCGAAGCAGAAGGAGAAGAACAAACAACCTTCACGACAACGACAACGACTGCAGCACCCACCAGAACCACCAAAAGAGCAGCCACTCGTCGCACAACCAGAGCAATTCCAATCAACGAGGACGCCCAACTGAAATCCATTGGCTTAAAGAAAAATAAGAGAGCTACCACAGTCGCTCCTCCAAAACGAGGCAATAGTACTTATAATTTCAAAACCAAGGCCAATGGCCTATTCGGAGTTCCAGGCCAACCCATAATCAAGATCGATAGCCAACCCAGCGAGGTCATTAAAGTCGTTCTATCCAAAGATGTGGGGGAAATGCGGCTACCGGCGGAAGAGACAGACACTTCAACACCCTTGACAACCACAACATCCGAGCCGGAAACGACGACAACTGATGAGAGCTGCGAAGAAGACATGGAAACCACCAACGAAGTGGAAAATGAAACAGAAGAAACAGAATATTTCCCAGAAACCGAAGAGGAAACCGAAGAAGGTGAATGGTTTAAATTGTCGCAGTTTTTGGAGAGTAGACTAAACAACTGTTCAGATCTGTTTGTTTCAGCATCAGACATGGATAGAGCCAAGTCAACCTCAACCACGGAGGAGCCCTGCGTAGACGCGGACGCCGATGATCAAGGAACAAATCTCTGTCCAGAGTTTATGCCAGCATACGGCAACTGTAAGTTGGGGATATTGTGAAAGGATAGCCCTAATCATTTATCCCTTCGATTCATAGCAAACTCCAGGCCCCCACCAGGACCACGGTTCCGAAAGCCCGTGAAGAACTATGTGGAACCCATTCTATACGAGGGATCGTTTGCCAAGCCGCGCCAGAGGATCGGATTAACACAACCCCAACCGCAGCGCCGGGACTACTTTGTAAGCAACAAGCAGATTGTGCCAAGACCCAGGCCTAAGTACAGGAAGCGGCTGCCCCACTCGATCTACATGAATAATATTATCAGGGGTGTAGACTGCGTGGACGATGTGACTGCGAGTCCCTATCCACAGGTTGGCCCGTATCCACAGCCCTTTAGAGCCATACAACCATCTCATGGGCAACGCAACTGGCCAGCGAGTCGTCGACCAGGAGGAGGATATGGCTCTGTCCAGAGGAGCCCTGGCTATGGTCCGGGACCAGCGCCGGTTCAACGTATCCGTTCCTCTCCGGCTCCTCGATATCCGGGATGTTCAGAGGAAGAGCAGCACTATCACAATGACAGGGAGAGCAATGAGGATCAGCATGACTTCGAGGAGGAGGCAGCCGCCTTGATGCGAGCACCCGAACCGACACCCAGCATAGATCCCTGCCAGGCAGAGCATGATCACCCCCTTTACGGACAGCATCTCCAGCAATCAGTCCACGATTATTCACAATCCAAAAACTTCTTTACCTAAATCATAGTCCCAAGGGCTGTAGTTTGTAAGCCACCGACCAGCACCCAGTAACAAATTTAACCACATATGTAATAAACAAGTGCACCACAACACAAAGCCATCATCAGTCAGTCAGTAGCTGGTGGAGCCGAATACGGAGGAGGGGGCGGAAGGCAGTCCCATGGTAATTAGGGAACCTCTTTGATCCGCATGCAAATTGGACAAATGGGCTGGGGACGACGTCAGCAATTGAATTGCTTTATAAGCAGGGGCCAGGGCCACCGGCCACTGGCCAGGCCAGTGCCTTATGAATGGCCAGTTATCAGTCTCCCCACAGCCGGAGCTCAAGTTGGGGACAGAGGCACGCGCCCCTAATGAAAAACCCATGAGCTACCAGGCCACCTGATGATGGCCATCGTAAGGGTGCTGCGAATGGAACCGAACCTTGTTTGCCCTACGCTCTCACATCGCTCACACATGAGTGGAGCCTGAAGAGGTCGATTTTAATGACATTAGAAGTACAGCATCGCATCTACTTGGGTGTGTATGGAAAGTGTGTTTACAGGAGGATTAAAAAAGAGATATTTAATCCTTTTCTAGGACATTCTTTCCGCTTTTTAATCCAAGGAAAGGTTAACCGCATTGCCCTTACAGTGTATGTTGGCTGGTATCGCGCATGGCTCACCCATTTATAATTTTTTAAGCGATTTTAAAGGCTTTTACTTCCCCTTCCTATAACCACTTATATGACCCATAGTCCTCTGTGTAGGTGAACCAAGAAACATATGACTGAGGAATGTCCCTACAAAAAAATGCATGTTTCCTTACTTAAAAATCAAAAGAGCGCGTAGGACCCCAAAGGAGTTTCGCACCAGAGCGTACCAAAAATAAAGCCGAAAACAAATTAGTTTGCCCCAAGCCCAAGCCACCCCATTTTCTCACGCTCTCTCTCTCGCAAACAACACTCTCTCTCGTTCTCTTTGATTGAGGCTCCTGACATTGTAAATGTCACAGACAAGACGGTGCTGGGGCGACGGCGCCAAGAGCAAAAAGCGCCAAAACATTCAGTAAATCAGAGAGCCAAAAGCAAGGTATGCCGTACTGAAAGAGAGAGAAACCGTCCGGTCCGTGCTGTATTTGTTCACGCGAGGGTGCGGGCGAGCCCATGGCAAAGAATCATTGAAGGTATGGGCATTTCACTCCTCAAGGGACCTAAGGTGGCCGGCTCTCTCTCTAACGGCAACAATGAAAGCTCCTTCTTTAAGCGGCTCTAGCGAGTAATTTGTGGCCTCCTGCTTATCTCTAATGCGAAGGTATAATTAGGTCCCCGTCAAAAAGAGGCCGGTGGCCGAGATTCCCTTACCCTCTTTACTATAGCATGGCTAGGAACGTATTCGCCCCGCTGGCTGTCGCTGTACGACCGTGTACTGAATTGTAGGTTCTCCTTTCTCGTGTGCGGACGTGTTTTCCTATTCTTATCGTGCGCTGCGCGGTAGCGGAGAGGGAAAACTGCAAAAAGGGAAAATCTGCTTCCACGCGTAGAAAAGGGAAAACCTCGAGTACGGAACCCAAGCCAATTAACCGAATCAATTTTTAAGCAAACTCTAGGGAAAAATAAGTGAGAGTTAAGTTTGTGAGCAGCCCACAAGTGCATTTAACTAGCCCTACAGTAAACCCCTAAGTATCTGTAAAGCGAAAGAGTCCGCAAATCTCTGAGTTATATTTAGATAAAGTCGCTGTTTATATAGCCCGTAGTTAATCAAAAATGTGCTTATCGGCCGATGCTAATAAGTCGGGGGTTTAGGTAAATGGAGCTAACTGATTGAGCAAAGAAAAAGGTGTGAAAGCAGCCCCAACAACAATCACAACAACAACAGCCCCTCAACCATACAAATCGATAAAGAATTTAAAAATAAATATCCCAACGACGCCCCACGACGCTCTATTGTTGCGGCGTAATCATAACGTGTAATCCATGCGATTCGGTAACAAAACACTGCCAAAGTAAACCCCAGAACCACCGACCAAAAAGCACCTATGGTCTAAGCAAGGACCAACCTCAAGATAACCGAAAGCGAAACGTTAACGAGCATTTAACAGGTCACTTAGAGGCAGTAGCAGTAGAAGTACAGTAGAAGTACACCAGTAACCAGTAACCAGCCGCAGTAACTGGGTCAGTAGAGGCAGGACCCCGACTACACCGATTGCCTGCCAAGCCACTCTCCATCGAGGGCTTCATCCTTCTTTTGCATCCACCTTCTTTTCTCTTCAAAGAGGTAAGTAACTGAATCCTCATTAAAATTTGAGGGATAGAACTGCACTAGCTGTAGCTAATTTTAATCAAAACAAGCTGAGATATTGCCTGGTGGTTAGTATATGCTTGACTTAATCATCACTGGCTTGGGGCCAGGATACTTAAAGCAGGCCAGTTGGTTGCTAAAGTGGCCCAGAATCACTGTTGCCAATTTTTTGCTGGAATTTTTGGACAGCGTTGCCAAATTTCTTTGGGGTAGGAGAACGGATAACCATAATCGGTACGGCAAATTCTCTCGAATAAATACCAGCTTTCTTAATTTAAATCTATGAAACCACAACCTTTTCGACAGCGCGAATGAAGCCAGAAGAAGGCCGTGTTCCTGCAAACATAACTTCTTTGGAAAAGGGTGTAAGCTTCCTTAATAATTATTAAGTGGAATACATATATCTTCTTTAAAAGAGAAAAGGAAAACTGGCCTAAATTCGTGTAATTGGAACAGATTTATCATGCATAAAATATGAAAAAGGCAAAAAGGTTCCATTAAATAAAGAGTTTGACTACTTTCTTGGTACTAGCGCTTCAAGTAGAACAAATAGTAGACACTTTTATTTAATAATTTATTGCCCTACATTGATTCGCCTTGACTAAAAGAATCACCACCATATTTATTTCCCATTTAAAATTTATCGGGAATATCTGCCACCCCCTCTTATGAATAGCTCAATGTGTATTCAAAGCAATCGGCAGCCATTTGATTAGCCCGCCAATCGACTCACCTCAGATTGGTAAAGCAAACACCCCGATATCATATAAGTTTTCGTTTAAGCACTTTTGGCTGGCCAACTAAACAAACAACTCGCTGGAAAAGTTTAATCGCTGCCATCGGGCAATGGCATAAGCTAATGACCAGCAGGCCTCTCCACTGGTATCCTCCTCCACTACGGGTATTGCTGACTATTCAAACAACTATTTTACATAATAGACATGTGTGGTGGACGAAAACAAAACTGCGAAAACAGCGCACCGCACATGTTCTAAGCGATTACAAACGAAATGAGTCGCCGAGGAGGTTCGGATTGGGAAAGGCACAAAACCGTAAAATAAAAGTCAGCACCAAATGCTGTCACATAATCGATGGATATTTTCACAGCGGAACCTATGTCAAACGCCACCACCCCACCCCCAACGTAGGAATCAATCGATTGAATCGTGAGAGCCCAAAGAGGCTGCCATCTAATCCCATTCATTCCAGATGTAAGCAACCTTAAGCCGACGGATCCGGCTCCCGACGGTGGATGGTGATCTAAGGAGGTCGGCGGTCGTCTTATAATTAGCTTGAATGGTAATGAATACTGAATACTGAAGCACGGGGCTGGGTGTAATTAAACTCGGGGCCCAGGTACCAGAGTATGTCAAGTGACAGCCAGCGTGTGTCCTTTTAAGCATATCCTGCTGATGGGTAATGGAATATGGTTAAAGGCTTTCCAGGCCGACGATTGTGAAATGCCTGCGAGGAAATTTGAGTATGATTGGGAACAGGGCCAAAGAAAACCGTTCACTGAAAAGAGCTACTGTACATTTCGTATGTATCCTAGATGGAAAAGTGTGTGTCAAAGGTCTTGGGGGTATATTTTACGATTGTTTTACTAGCAAGCTTTAATGAAACTCACTGCAACAACACCTCGTTAGAAAACTTTTGCGGAAAACTGTGTGCAAAATCAAGACTTAACCCGGTTACAACTTTGGGCTTTTGATGTAGCACTAATTAGGACGCAGGAACATTTAGGGACAAGTTGGAAAATTAACTAAATGTAATTGAAAAAGTTTCACTTACTGGAAATTGAATATGATCCAAACTGACGGTAACCTGGCGTTCGGAAGGGTATATTTAATTAAAGTATTTTCTGTTAAATACGGAACAGCTGATTCTTTGAAAGTACAAACACATTCTTTAGAAGTTTTTTGTGATGCAATCGATATCAATGAAAATATGTCATTCACCTGTGACAGGTACAATATTTCCCCTAAGAATGTTTTATTGCGCCTCCGTATCCATCCATCCATCCATCATTCGATTGCACATTTTATTCAGATATTCATATATGTACATACATATGTAGGTACATACATAGATACATATGCATGTATTATTTACCATTCTGATATGAATATGTAAATGAGCTTCAATTGACTTGCCGCATGTCGCTCAGACACACAGGTAATTCATCAGCCGGCGATTCAAATTCTATTTGCATTTCTTTTTGGGGCACTTGTTTTTCCCCAATTCGCTTTCATTCACTAGACATTTTGTAATGAAATTCCGTGATGAAATCTGCATATTTAGCGCTGGATGGAATCATCCTTTGAAATCTGACTGGAGAGTCATGAGACATGATTGATTTTCTTCCTACCTTTCCAAGAAAATAGATTCCTCGACTATATATAGACAGTGCTTAATTTATTGTCCTAGTGACGCCTGAGAGCTTCTCGAGAATGTCGTGACTGCATGCTCCCCATGTGTATCTACTCGTATATGATAGTCTCATCAAGGAACTAGATATGGCGCTCTGTTGTCATCCCATTTTGCGACACTTTTAACGCGACCTTAGCCACAAAATGCAAAACACACAACCAACCCGAGTCCCTCTCTAGACCATCTCAGGCCCTCTCATATGACACTATTTAACCACATCGGTGGCGGTGACCGCGGGGGGAGATGTGCTGCCGTATGAGGGATGACAAGAAAAAATCAATATCAACAACAACATTTTGCTTTCCTTTGCAACAAAATTGGAAATTTCATTTACACTTGACAGAGGCACGAGTCCGGCCTCCGACACACAT